ACCTGGTTGCCGAGTTCACGAAGTGAATTGGCTTGTTTTACAACGTCTTTGCCAAGCGACGAAAACCCAATCCCGATGGCAAACACCGGGGGGGGGCCAAAGATGGGGGGGGCGCTGTTTCGTGTCACGCCGCCGTGTCGTCCTTTGTTCGAGATACCGGCACATCACATTTCCAGAGTGCGAACGCGGAATGATTTGTCCCCGAATCAACCTTGACCTTTTCCATCCCAACAGCGAGCGAGGCTCGAGGGTCTCAAAATAATTCGGCCTCATCTGCTCATTTTTGATAACACACAAAGAATGCCCTTCGATTGCTCGATTCTTTCACGAAACGGCCGTCGATACACCACTTTTCCGCCGATTCAACAATTCCCGCTCCGCTTGTGTGTGGCATCAGGTGTACGACGCTGCGCCGCCTCCCAGAAAAGTGGGCGTCGCGAACCTGCCTCCCTTAACGGGCACCGGCGACACCTTGTGGCACGGGTCCAAGCACTACAAGGTTCTGCGCGTTAGCAGCCACTACAAGTGAGCATCAACTGCCCCATGTTTAATCCCCGTTTGTCGTAGATGTCGTAGACGTCATGGGTGTCGTAGATGTCGCAGATGTCATAGATTCTTCCGCTCGCCTCTGCCCGACAGGGAGAACTCGAGCTCCATCAAGATACACCATGGAAATGCACCGACACATGAACAAAGCCGAACGATACCGTGCCGTGCCGGCCCCGTGATGACTCCCGCTAGTCAATGACGGTTTCGCTAGGACGGCGAGAGGATATGCAGCCTATATCTCGAAGGCTTTCTGCGAGTTTTCGGTCAAGCTTTTGCAAGCGAGCCTCTCCTTCCTCTCCTCTCACGGCCAAGAACAGACTACAGCAGGCCGTACAAATATGCCGGTCGCCCTGCATTTGTGTGGCACAGATGGAAGACAGTGGGGTGCCATGTATACTCTTAAGCCGGACGACACGCCACGGCTGTGGCTGAGAATTGTATCGATACGCTTTCGCAGTTTTCAGGTTGGGGGTTGGGTACACCTGACTGGAAAATGACACCGGAGGGAGAGAGAATGGTCTACTAACCCTGTCTCTGACCCCCCGAACCGACGCTAGTTTCGACAACAACTCTCTTTTCAAGTGTTCAAGTGCCACTTGTTATATTGTGGTTTGTCCTTGTTTGTAGTGTAGACCATGTTTTCCGGCTGACCAATTAAAATGCCTCACATTTTTTCCATGTGTGACGTTTTGCCTGCTCTCTCCGATGTTCATCACCACCTTCACGACAGATACGAGGGCGGTCGCTTCGTAGTGCGACGAAAGTCCATTCAGGCTAAGGAGTTGAAACGAGTGGCGAAAGAACGGGTCGTCTCACGGCTTGTGTACGGCGACAGCGGAAAGGTGCCACCTCCACCTTCTTGATACCGGGTCGAGCGATTATTTTGTTTGGTTCGCAAGGCGCGGCGCGATTTGTGTGGCATTACGTGGACGTGTCCTTCTATGTGCGTGGGTTTATGGTCGTGTGTTATTCGAGATCGCCTCTCTGATTAGGCAGTAAATGCGGAAGTCTGTGGCATGTGGATAGAGGCTACCGCTGCGCATGGATTAACCGAGGGTGCCAGCCCCCAGAACCGTCGTGCGAATGGTAAATGTCTGACTTTGGTGTCACTCGCGGATAAGTGGAAATGCATACGAACATGACGCCAGGCGGCGCGTGCGTTTGGGTGGCCGTAGCGAGTAGCCGGGTAAAACATATACAGGGGAGGGACGGCAGCTGTGGTAGAGGTGGAAGGGTACGAGCGGGCGCATGGTTACGAAAGAGTGCCGAGCGGCCCGCTACAACCAGATCACGATTGTAACCGGGTAACGATTACGATTGTCATTGGGTATCATAACTGGTGAAAAAGAGGTCGTCTGAACGATTGCACTGCTGTCTGAGTGCAAGATTCTGCAAGAGGCTGTCTGCGTGCATTTCTTACAACAGATGTGGTCATCCTCACCCACACTACTCCCTATCCATGATGCTGACAGACATACCTCGGATTGCATACCGGTGTTTTTTTTTTTTTCCCCATCATTGGACTCTGTCGTCTGCCCCTCTGGCCCCTATCCTCCACTTCTACTAGCTAGACGACCCAACCGGGGTCACACAGGAGGGTGGGGTTGGACCCCCTCCTGCGGTTCCTGTCTGAGATATTTTTATCGCGAGAAGGGTACAGCAATCCCTTCTTTCGCGACGTACGAAGTCGAATATAGTTTACTAACAACGAATTTTGCAGCGCGTCGCTTCATCCTAGACCAGGATTTATTTAGTGAGAAAAGACTCACTCTGTCGGGACTCGAACCCATGACCTGGCCCTTAGCAGGCTGCGAGGGTACCGACTAGGCCACCGGGGCGACCGGTGCATGTGTGAGCATGTTTGTGGGCCTCGACTGGACGGCAAGGCGCTTTCATGCGCCGTACGGCAAAGAAGCCTAACCGGTTGTGCGCAAACACGAAAACCACGCATGGCGTGAATTGACCACAATTGCCAATGTAGGAAGGGGAGCGCGAAAAATCTTGCGCCCGTCTTCGCGTATTTTCGCGGTTTACAATAAGAGCAATGTGGACAACACAAAAAAAAAAAACAACAGCAGATTAGGACCACAATTAAATAAGCAAACGAACGACATTGGAACATTGGAATACCCTAAGAGACAAAACATATGGACAAAAAGCACATCACCACCATATGAGAGCAATACACCGGCACGCGGAGACATTTTGGAACAGCTTGACAAACACTTGCTGGGTTACCGAACCAAAATCACATTCTAAAGAACCCCCCCCCGACGTATAGTGAGGGACGACAGCAGCAAAGATTATTCCTCCTGCGTCACACACATCCACTAGACTTGAAACGCTCAATAGTCCACTTGACAAGCACCGGCAAGAAAACACCGGACAGGACACCGCAACTCACCCTCCTTGGCTCCTTGCTACAAGCGCGGACCCAAAAGGAGATTAGCGACAAAGAGCGAAGGCGGAGCGCTTTCGACAAAACAAAACAATAGGGTTGCGTGTAAATGGCGCCCGCGTAAGCTATGTTACAGGTCTAAAAGCGCCGCCGCAGCAGGTCGGCAGCAGCACCAACGCTGCGCTTCAGATGTACGGCTTGATGTTGACGTTCAGAGCAGTGAGCGTATACTCCCTTTTTCGTCCGTTGATGGAGTAAACCTTGTCCTTGTATGACTTCCACGTTTGGCCGTCTTTTGCCTGGGGGAAAACAAAACACGCCATTTTGTGGGTGGAGACAAGGGGCGGGACATCAAGTGGCGGGAAAGCAGGGGTCGGGGAGCGTTCGGGAGGGGGAAATGGGGTGAGAGTGAAACCATGATACGACCTTGAGCAGGAAAGGAGAGGAAAAGGGGTAAAAACAAGAAGGACGGTGCGTGAGGCCCTGATTTGAAGGATCAGTGACGCTGGCCAAAACATCTCATGGAGGCACCAAAAGCATTTTTTGTAGAAACTACACTTGCACAGCTCTGTATCTTTGAGCGACAGGAAAAAAAAAAATGGGGGAAGCCACACTGCATGCTTCCTGTGCACACTCTGTTAAAGTTCCTTCTCCCCAAGAACAGTTCTTGGCGTTTGCCTTAAGGCAGCACCGTGAGACCGCCGACTGGTTGCGAGATGAACGAGCTTCGCCCCGAAAACGCCTATCGTACGTACTGCTGTTCTTCTTTAGGTCTCGCAAAACACATGCCCAACTTCGGTCCGGCCATTGCGCACTCTTTTGATACCATTTTTCCCGCGATTCTAATGCTGCTAAATGTTGGAGGACACGAAAAGCCCACCTCGCCTAGCTGGGGTGTATGTATCACCAGCACCAATGCCATCACAAGGAGGCTTCCTAACGACGGGAATAGTGGTTGTGGAATTGAGAGCAGCGCGGGTAGAAAGCCGGCCACACTCCACCAACTCGATCACACGACAAACAACCAAACACCAACGAGGCTCAATACATCTAACCCAGGCCGGCCAGGCACTACACATCGCAATTTTTACAAGGGCGTGTTTGGTACGGTACCGGTATTTTCGGTAAGGTATTTACATCGTACCGAACGTACCGAACACTTCGGTAAGGTATTGAAGTCCATACCGAACGTATCGGTATCTTCTGTAAGGTATTGAAGTCCGTACCGAACCTACCGAGCATTCCGGTATGGTATGACCGTTCATACCGGTACCGTACCGAACATCTCGGTATTTGTACCGAACGTACCGAAAACTTCGGTAAGGTATTGAAGTCCATACCGAACGTACCGGTATTTTCGGTAAGGTATTGAAGTCCGTACCGAACGTACCGAACATTTTGGTAAGGTATTGAAGTCCATACCGAACGTACCGGTATTTTCGGTAAGGTATTGAAGTCCGTACCGAACGTACCGAACATTTTGGTAAGGTATTGAAGTCCATACCGAACGTACCGGTATTTTCGGTAAGGTATTGAAGTCCGTACCGAACGTACCGAACATTTTGGTAAGGTATTGAAGTCCATACCGAACATACCGAACATCCCGGTATGGTATGGCAGTCCATACCGGTACCATACCGGCGATACCAGTATTTGTCCGGTATTTCTCCCGAGCGTCGCCCCAATAATAATATTACACGCAATACGCCCCAATACTTACATGCAATATCAATATTGATATCGCCCATCAAGAATGTGTGAGTGCGCACAACAGTAAGACCAAAAAAATATGGTACGGAGTCAATCCGAATCCGAGACTCTCCCTATTGAAAATGGAAGGCAGGAGAGAACAGAAAATTAAAAACAACACGGGTCTTCATCTTGAACACGGAGTATAATTTTAATTTTAACTTCAATTTTAGTTTTATAATTAGCCCGGTACCGGTACTCGGTACCGGTATCGCACCGGTACCGGTATTTACATCGTACCGAACGTACCGGTATTTTCGGTAAGGTATTGAAGTCCGTACCGAACGTACCGAACACTTCGGTAAGGTATTGAAGTCCATACCGAACGTACCGGTATTTTCGGTAAGGTATTGAAGTCCGTACCGAACGTACCGAACACTTCGGTAAGGTATTGAAGTCCATACCGAACGTACCGGTATTTTCGGTAAGGTATTGAAGTTCGTACCGAACGTACCGAACACTTCGGTAAGGTATTGAAGTCCATACCGAACGTACCGGTATTTTCGGTAAGGTATTGAAGTCCGTACCGAACGTACCGAACACTTCGGTAAGGTATTGAAGTCCATACCGAACGTACCGGTATTTTCGGTAAGGTATTGAAGTCCGTACCGAACGTACCGAGCATTCCGGTATGGTATGACCGTTCGTACCGGTACCGTACCGAACATCTCGGTATTTGTACCAAACGTACCGAAAATTTCGGTAAGGTATTGAAGTCCATACCGAACGTACCGGTATTTTCGGTAAGGTATTGAAGTCCGTACCGAACGTACCGAACATTTTGGTAAGGTATTGAAGTCCATACCGAACGTACCGGTATTTTCGGTAAGGTATTGAAGTCCGTACCGAACGTACCGAACATTTTGGTAAGGTATTGAAGTCCATACCGAACGTACCGGTATTTTCGGTAAGGTATTGAAGTCCGTACCGAACGTACCGAACATTTTGGTAAGGTATTGAAGTCCATACCGAACGTACCGAACATCCCGGTATGGTATGGCAGTCCATACCGGTGCCATACCGGCGATACCAGCATTTGTCCGGTATTTCTCCCGAGCGTCNAACGTACCGAAAACTTCGGTAAGGTATTGAAGTCCATACCGAACGTACCGGTATTTTCGGTAAGGTATTGAAGTCCGTACCGAACGTACCGAACATTTTGGTAAGGTATTGAAGTCCATACCGAACATACCGAACATCCCGGTATGGTATGGCAGTCCATACCGGTACCATACCGGCGATACCAGCATTTGTCCGGTATTTCTCCCGAGCGTCGCCCCAATATTAATATTACACGCAATACGCCCCAATACTTACATGCAATATCAATATTGATATCGCCCATCAAGAATGTGTGAGTGCGCACAACAGTAAGACCAAAAAAATATGGTACGGAGTCAATCCGAATCCGAGACTCTCCCTATTGAAAATGGAAGGCAGGAGAGAACAGCAAATTGAAAACAACACGGGTCTTCATCTTGAACACGGAGTATAATTCTAATTTTAACTTCAATTTTAGTTTTATGATTAGCCCGGTACCGGTTCTCGGTACCGGTATCGCACCGGTACCGGTATTTACATCGTACAGAACGTACCGGTATTTTCGGTAAGGTCTTGAAGTCCGTACCGAACGTACCGAACACGTCGGTAAGGTATTCAAGTCANACCGGCGATACCAGCATTTGTCCGGTATTTCTCCCGAGCGTCGCCCCAATATTAATATTACACGCAATACGCCCCAATACTTACATGCAATATCAATATTGATATCGCCCATCAAGAATGTGTGAGTGCGCACAACAGTAAGACCAAAAAAATATGGTACGGAGTCAATCCGAATCCGAGACTCTCCCTATTGAAAATGGAAGGCAGGAGAGAACAGCAAATTGAAAACAACACGGGTCTTCATCTTGAACACGGAGTATAATTCTAATTTTAACTTCAATTTTAGTTTTATGATTAGCCCGGTACCGGTTCTCGGTACCGGTATCGCACCGGTACCGGTATTTACATCGTACAGAACGTACCGGTATTTTCGGTAAGGTCTTGAAGTCCGTACCGAACGTACCGAACACGTCGGTAAGGTATTCAAGTCAGTACCGAACGTACCGAACATCTCGGTACGGGTATACCGGAGGTATAATACCGCTGGTACGCCTCAGTATGTATCTTACCAAACACACCCTTGGAAAATAACCCTTGGGATATATCCTTAGAACTAGAGTTGCGGTTAGGGCCATTCGAACATGGCACATGACTCCTCTCGTAAACCCTTCGTACCAATCTCACGCCCGCCCGTGTCGCCCGTAACGCACCATGCCACGGTCACGACCGTCCTCAACGCGGGCAGGCGAGGAATCGCACCGCCCACTCAGACGTGTCACCCACACGAACGTCCTTTAACCTCGGCCACTCTCGAACAATACACACACCTGGAAGAAAGCGTAGACTCGAAGGTTTTTGCAGCCCTCGGGGAAATACACGGTCGTGGGAGGCGTGCCTCGCCTTGGCTCCATTCTGATTGGGCGGTTACAAAAACGACAGAAGAGCACATAAACAGAGAAGGGCATAGTAGCGTGACTGCAGTACACACCAACTCAAAGGCACAAACGGCATCATGGATAGGTGCGTGGAGCCGTGCCGCCTTGACAACGGAAACGACAGCTTGATACTGTAGCGAGGGGACCCTCGTCCTTTAGGTATGTACGAGTGGTGCCACCAGCACGAGTGGTTGTATCTGGAAGAAACGCATGAGCGCTGTCACGCAATTTCAAGCAAGTCTTAAACCACTACTGACCAACGACAGAAGAGAGCACCGATCTTCCAACGCAAATGGAAGAGCGGGAGATCGAACGCGGGTCATCTCAACAGCAGTACAAGGGGCCAAGGACGGAAGCTGGTGTAGGTTTGGCGTAGCACCTTCTTCCGGATGCGACCAACACCTGATTGACGCACCGAGTAAACCATCGTGAACACGTGCTGGAGGCTGAGAGGGGCAACCAGAGTGTAAACCGCACAGCTGACAAGAATGGTGGGAGAGCACCTGTGCCGGTGGGCCGCAAGCCGTGCAACCTTGCCTTTGTGTCAAAACACACAGCACGCCCATTTTCTTGCAGGGAGGGCTGGGTTGGTAGCCTGCTTAAGCACTTCCCTCTGACAACCGAAGCGGAGACGCAAGCATGGACACATGTACCGTCTGGAAGGCACCAGCACCAGTTACAGAGCAAGCGCTGAGACGCGTAGGCGTGTTTTCTGAAGGTCATGGCGGTACTTTCTGTCTAGCTGGCTCTTGACGCCGCGTCCCCACAAATGGTAACCCTCCCACAGCAAAACGCAGTCCCTCCGCAAAAATAAATTCTCGAAAAATATATTATCAGACATTGGCCGGGGGGCTGCAGTCCCTCCAGAGAAATCGGAGGGTGCCGAGCTCTTTGCCAAAGGACTGACTGCACATTGATATTGTATATTGTAGGGGGACCTTGAGGACAAAGGCTTTTTTGACACCTCTGATTGGTCTGGCGTTGGTTCGTTCGGTCGATTCCTTTCCAGCGCGCTCTCTCTATTCCGCATTCCGACAAAGCGGCGCAGCCGCGTTCTCGCCCAGTTCACGGCCGCTAGGCCGTGCGTTGGCCATGAGTGAGGTTTAGGGTCAGTTAGGTTTGGGTTGGGTCAGCCACGGTGTGTGACACATAATCCTATGTGTGGAACCTAGGTTCAACGTGTAACCCAGCCTCCACCCTTCCCAGCGTGCCAGACAAAGGGTGACTTGGCTTCCACGCAGGGATATTTTTCATACTGAAACCAAGTCAGCATTTTTTTTCAATGCCAAGCTATGATGTACTTCAGTTTTACCGCCAAGGGGAAACGCGGTTTGGGAGATTTTGTGTACACCAAGTCAGGCCGAGGAGGCATCACACAGCAATTTCATGCAGCGTACCACCGCATGCAAGCATGACAGAGCAAGGGTTCTCGTGTGCGTTTCACACAGCGGAGCCTACGGCGACTGCGGTGCCGTGAACAAACATTTGAATGCTGTGTCCCCAGAGTGTCCCCATTTGGGCGTCCAATACTACTGTAAGAGGGTTAACGCCAAGTGGAGGGGGCACACACTCCATGATCTAGATAAATCGGAGGCGGGGTTGCACGCCAGCGCCCTCCTGCTCCCGCAACAGACATCTCGTGCATGGTATATCTCACCTGTGGTCCTTCATCAAGAAGTACGACACCTCCGTCTTCTCGGTGCACACCGTCTTTTCCGTCTTGGCCCTCTTGGCTGCCCGCACTTCCGCCCCTGGCCCTCCGCCTCCTCCTCCGTCCATCATCGCCGAGACGATACCACCACCACCGCCGCCGCCTTCGCCATCCGCTCCGCCGCCGCCGTCGTCGCCGATCTTTGCCTTCCCGTTGAGCTTGGTGTCCATCGTGCTCACGACCGTCTCCTGGACGGCCCTCGTCTTCATCTTGCACTCCTGCTCTACCCAGTACGACACCTTGTAGTCGCTGTTGTTGGCTACGTTTATGCAGCTGTCCCTCCAAAACCAAAGCCCCTGCTGTTGGGATGGCTCCTCCATGATGATGCTTTAGACTATGCAGGCTCGGCGGCGCTCGCGGACGATGGATTGGGGTCGCCACACTCTGCAGCAGCCACTCCGACAGGAGAGCGTATATCTATGCAGTCTTTACCCCCTTCGCAACCGCCCTTCCACATCTACATGCACATGCTCTCTTGACCTTATTGCCTGCCCCGGCTTGCGCGCCTTGTCTTGATGTGCTCTCCGCGTCAGAGCGGGCCGAAGAACGCGCCCGTGCTTTTCAGATACACATGTTGTGGAGGCGTGAACCCGTCGGGGGTGTTAATGGCAGGCCCGCGGACATGAGGCGAATCCCGCCGCACATCCCCTCCTCTGTCCTCTTTCTCTCTCGCTGGCACTGCGACTGGCTCCCTCTCCCTAGAGACATGCTTCGGACCGGTGTTGCTGCTGCGCTTGTTGCGTGTGGTCTGTTTGTCTGTCTGTTGAGCCCTGCCTGCGGCTTCTTCCTAGCTCCTTCGTCGCTGTTTCGAGGCATCAGGCGGGACGCTCCAACCCTGATTTCGTCAACTCAGGCGCAACAGGTGAATACAAAGTCAACGTGAACACATGCACGAGGAGGGCTGTGAATCTTCACACGTTGACCACTCTGTCGTTCTTGTTATAGGATGAGGAGCTCTACTTCTGTAGATGATCTCCTTGTCATTCTTCGCAACGAAAGAAAGAAGGCCACCTTGGTCAGTTATGCAGGGCTCCTACGTAAGACCAACTACAACGTTCCCACAGTAGCATCTGGGTTACTGGTGCTTACGGTACACCTTTTGTTCGCGCCGCTTGCCCGACCTCCGTCTTTCGTAACACTGACTCTATGACACTGCTGCTGCTGTACCCCTGTCGTTTGTGTTGGCGGATTGATTGTCGCTGGTGTTCCGCGGGCTCTTGTGGCTGGCCTCTCTCTTTCTCGTCGGCCTCTCCCTCTTGTCTTCCTCCTGCTGTCCCAGCGGTGCACCATGGGCATCGAACAGATCAAGGTACATGTAGGCCATGCGTAAAACGTTCGCTTCGAAAGCGTTGGGTTGTTTTCTCTCCTGTGATTCCTACTATTACATTCCTGTATCTTGTTTATTCTCTCTCTTGTGCTTCCTACATTTAATACATTCCCGTGTCATGACCCAAAGGGGCAACTTTAGTCGTAAGCTGCAAGTGTCGGGGCCTTCTTTCTTCGTGAGACCGACTCATCCCTCCATCATAGACCGGAGAAGCTGCCATAAATGTTCATAGCCGTACCATACCCCCTTGTCTCCATCTCACGATAGGTTACCAAGAACCCCACCGAGGAGGAGATCAAGGCTCTCGGCGCCCGGAGCTGGCCGACGTGGGGTTGCGGCGTTTCAAAGTTCCCCTGGACGTACGAGGCGAGCGGTCGACGTACCTACAGTACATGTTCACATGCCACTCCGCTTCGCGTCCTACTTGTTATCACGGGAGTCGTCGTTGTTGCTACTGTTTTTGTTGCTGTTGTTGTTGTTCGTCTCCTTCTTCTTCTTGTCCTTGTTCGTGCTGTCGTTGATTTTGATGATGATGATGCTGATGATGGTGGTAATTCCGTTTATGTTGTTGTTGGTGCCTTTTCCCAGTCGCAGACCGCGATTGGCCCATTTACATACCTTTGCATTCCCACACACACGTACACACGCACAAAGCTCCCCCCGCGCCGCCACCGCCCCCTCAGGGCACGGAAACCTGCCTTATCTTGGAGGGAGATGTGACCGTAACGCCCGATGACGACAGAGACGCCGTCGAGGTCGGGGTGGGAGACCTTTGCGTATTTCCCGACGGGATGAACTGCACTTGGGACGTCAGGGCTCCCGTCAAGAAGCACTACAAGTTCGAGTAGAAGCCAAGAGCGGTGGCGGAGGGACGCAGGAGCTGTGATGGCAAACGAAGGCGTGGTGATGGTTCGCGCGTAGTGAGAACAGGTACCGTAGCTACGAGTAGACGCCGAACTCCGACACAGAGATGAGCTCACCGGCCAATGAAGCGGCGATAAGTTGATGCCCGGATTTGTTTTTGGCCGTTTCTCCCCGGGTTGGGCGCGGGAGATGCCCCCTTCCCGAACATGGACATGTATTTATTCCGAAGCGTAAGCGTACTTTATTCGGGGTAATGTTCTGCGTAGCTGCAGGTTTTGGGAGGCACGAGTACTCCAAGCAGTACACGCGAGGAGGATTGATCTCTTGATGCCTGTTGCGTGCTTGTGTTTATTGCATTATTGGAGCTCGTTTTTTGAATGGCGGCAATTTGGGGCTTACTTTGTAGCGCGGAGGCATGTGCGCATAACAAACAATGGGCACAACACCGCCAAGCGTTAGTTGGAACCAACGCAAACATCCTGTTCTTCCTGTGGGATTAATTCGTGGGCGCACACATTTTCGTCCAAGCAGCTCGAAGCCCTAAATCAAACAAGGCTTTGGCTTCCATACCCCCATAGGGGGGGGGAAGACAGGAACGGAAGGGTCGCCCTCATTTTGTGATGGGGGGTATCTCGGGACTGTGGCAGCATTTCTCCCGCCTGTCAGACGAGAGTCTTTTCTTGGTAATCGGCCTTGCCGCGTACAGCCAGGGGTGTCTGTGGTGTAGTTGCTTTTGGACGCATTCAGCGGCCAAGCAAACGACGTCGGTCTCCCGCACCCCCTCAGACGGACAGGTAGCAGCACCAATAACGCGAAGCACAAGCGATGCGAGAGTTTGGCCAAATCGCAATACGATGCCTACCGTGATGGGCAAACTCGAGTCACGCCCAGATTATTTTCTGCTCCCCGGGCATACGAACGGATACGAAACTTGAACAAACAACACTACAATGTGGCGAACAGGATACTTGTTTCTCATATAGTTTATGTTATTTTCTCGTGTACACACACGAACCATGCTGCATGGGTGTATGACCACCAATGAGAAGCACGCGCGAGGTTGGCGACAGTGCTGGAACCCCACAAACGAGCTTGTTGCTCCCCATGCGACACTGTTGGGGTATACAAAAGAAACGCGTTGGAATATCTTTCGCGGTCGAGGCTACCCTGGGATGAAGCGATACAGTGGTTGAAGCGTAAGTTGGACAAGTGTACACCGGCGGAGGAACATTTTTCCTTACCGAGTGTATGTCCTCCAACGAAATTTGCGCTCCGGGGCAAAATTATTCCCATCTCTAGCTTCTGGTCGTTGTGAAATGACAATTGATGACACCGCCGTACGTGTTTTAGGCAGATAGGAAACACGGCGACGTTCAACAGGTGGGAGCAGTTGTGCCGCTTTTAGCGGGCAAATTTTGCTAGGTGCCCACATAGGTGTCGGCGTCACCAACATTGTATGCGGAGAGAATATGAAAATATCATCAACTCCAATCACGGGGTCGTGGAATTCGCGCGTTCCCCTATTTCTCATTGTCGAATTTTTATATATTCAGGATGTTTACATTCGAATAATTTTGGGTTCAGTTCAGTAAACCCGTACAAGCACGCCTAGCGTACCCACTGTCCCACCAGCTTGATACGTAACGCACACAATTGCATAACGCCATGGACAGCGTTCAAGCCCAGAATCTACAAATCCCGAGTGACCGATGTCCAAACAAACATCACGCAACGCGCAACATTGACTTCACCCATGACAAAGCTCGAACCTACAACATACCAACCGCGAGTCCCCACCGTCGAACTGCATTCGAGGAAACTCGTATGACCCTTATGACAACGAATATCAACGGCGACTCAGGCGTCGACGACCCAGCTACCTCGCACCTTCGTTTCAAGCAAATGCCAAGAAGAGGGGCTTGGTCAGGAGACATGGCACAGAACCTACCCGAATAAGAGTTGGAGAGCAAGATGTGCACCTGACTCCCGACACGATCTATACGCTAGCTACCTTGACATCTCAACAGCCTCCACCGTCCGTCCATGACGCCCTACAGGAACATGACAGCCGAAACCCTAGAAACCAACGAAGATGCTTTCACTCTCGTACAATAGCTACACAAATCGGAGGGCAACTGCACGAGATAAAACTCAACACGCCTCAACCGAACAAGCAATATCTACGCCATCTCCACCCACGAGCACTTCGTTAGGTAGAATACACACATCACGACACATAACATCAAATCCAACACCAGGGGTCCCACTTTTCAAGACTCACCAAACACAACTCTATGTACAACAAACAAACGTATACAAATGGCAGGGAAACGTGCACCTACTTCGGGAAAAACACATCAAGGCCATAATTCTCCTCTACTGTTCGCCCCCCTCCTGGTTGTCGGGGTTCTCGCGGTTCAACCGCCCTAACAACGGGAGCTTGTTCGGGAACGATCCCGTCGCCGAAGTGCCAACGGAGTACGCCACAGCCGCCAACAAAGCCACGAACACCACGTCCGACCCCGCGTTCGCCAAAGGCGCCAGCTTGGACGCGTCGGACCCCAACACCGCCCCCGTGATCGCACCCACCACGCCCGGCAAGATCAGAGCGATGTCCAGGTTGATGGCCTGCTGCATGTTGAACCTCACGAGCTTGTTGATCTGCGGGTTGCTGGAGCCGACGGACAGACTGAAGAACCCGATCAGCGTCGCGAACGGAACGGACCGCAGCGCCAGCAGCACGGCCACCAGCGGTTCCGCCCACGCCGTCTGCTCCGGGAACGCGCCGAACAGGTGGGCGGCGAACACCACGCCGTCCGCCAGAGGGAGCACGTACGGCAGCGCGGACAGCGCCTTGTCGGCGGTAGTGGCCGGGCCGTCGTTGACATCGCCGGGAGACACCTCCACCGCCCCTGCGTCCGGCCTCATCTTGTCGTCCATCTGGCGCTGGCGCTCCTCCATACGCGCCACGCGCTCCTCCTCCCGCTGCTGGCTGAAGAGGTTCTCGAGCCTCGTCCTGAGCTCCTCCGTGGGGGCGAACTCCGACTGCTGCAGCAGCCCGTCCCCGTTCTGGTCGTAGGTCTGGATGAGCTTGAGGGCGAGATCGTCGGGGAACAGGGTACCTCCAGGGAGCCCGGCGATGCGGTCGTCCACCTGAGATGTTGTCAGAACGAGGTGCGGGTGAAGGGTAGGATTGGGGAGGGGACGCGAGTATGGTGAGAGTTGTTCGTTGACTTCAGGAGAGGCGGTGACGGGTGGCTGTGTGGGGAAAAGAATTGTGCGATGTGTTGCAAATGGATCGCCAGCTATCCATGCTTGCTTTGAACGCAAAGAGGCAACAATTCTTATCAACGACCAACACCCAGGATGGATTCGACTATCCCTACAGCAGGGATAGTGCAGAGCCGTGCGATGAAGATCATCGAAATCGTCGATGGGGCCGGGGGGAGAATGGCCTCGAGTTGAGGTGCATTGGCTACGCTATCGGGTGACACGCAGAGTTCGATTTGCTACCCATTTCACATGTGTCAGGTGGTTCCGCAAGGGCCTGTACGACGGAGGTGCGGAGGCACACAGCGGCAGTAGTATCGCTACCAGCAGTACGTCTTCAACTGTGACAGCAATACAGCGTCTGTGGTACGCTGTGGTTGGGGTCTGTGGCGTAGGTTTGGGTAGAGAAACATACTGTGCATTAACATATACAAACAGATGCCCACGCTGGCTTCACCTGAACGGTTACGGACTTGGCAACGCTTTCACAATACCGCATAAAAACAACATTGAAGTGGAATATGCTGTTCCCGTACTGCTGTACAAGCATTTCCATCACGTATCACACAGTCTACTGTAGGCCGTTGATCGAAAACCAGTAGCTCTCGATGCTGCCGCCGCCAGCTACTGTCTGTCACACCAGAGTAGCTCATGCCAAACGTACATGCCATGGACCCAATAGAGCACCACATACGCCCAACATAGCATCCCTACCAGTGCTCCCTCGACTCACCTCTTCTTTCGACGGCTTCCGCCCCATGTGCGCCTATAACGTCTTCGTGAAGCTCCGACGAAGCGGGCCCTCGAGCCCGGCCTTGAGCTCGGCGACGTCCACGGATCCGTCCTTGTTCGAGTCAAACGTGTTGAAGGATCGTTGCGCGTTCTCTCGTCTCTCCCGCGCCTGCTTCTCCTCGAGCTCGGCAGCTTCCGCGCGGAAGGCGGCCGCGGTTTCTCGGAGCTTGGCCGCTTTCTGCTCTGCGACCTCGCTCACCATGCGGAGAGAAGACGTGGCCGGCGTTGCCGACGACCGGCGGCGAGCGTCGTGGCGAGTCGTTACGGCGTAGGTTGACGACCTGACGGCGTGCTGAGGGTTGGCGAGGGACCACGAGGCTCCGCGGCCGGTTGGAGTGACGAAGGCGGTGGTGGAGCCCACGAACAGGGTGACTAAGGGAACTATGGTAGCGCTGATCGGTGCCATGGTTGCTGCCGCTGTTGATGTGTCGATGCTGTGTTGGGGTGTGTCGTGTTGGTGTGTTGACAACGGCGCTGCTGTGCGTTGGGATGGATGAGAGTGGTCAGGGTGGGGCGGGGGGCGGGAGGTGGGTGCCTGTGTCTGTGAAAACACGCAGATGCTCTTTGTCTCAGTGGGCAGTCAGGAATGGGGCTTTCAGAAGGTATGCTGTGCGTTGGTGGTGACGGGAACGCTCCCAAGACATCTCGGATTCAGCGCTTCAGAGTCAGAAGTTCCTCCAAGTCATGCCCGCTTCCGGCGCGTTTTGTGAAAGCGGGCGTGCTTGTCCGGAGCTACGACCAGAACGGGGACGGGCTGCTGCAGCAGTCGGAGTTCGCCCCCACGGAGGAGCTCAGGACGAGGCTCGAGAACCTCTTCAGCCAGCAGCGGGAGGAGGAGCGCGTGGCGCGTATGGAGGAGCGCCAGCGCCAGATGGACGACAAGATGAGGCCGGACGCAGGGGCGGTGGAGGTGTCTCCCGGCGATGTCAACGACGGCCCGGCCACTACCGCCGACAAGGCGCTGTCCGCGCTGCCGTACGTGCTCCCTCTGGCGGACGGCGTGGTGTTCGCCGCCCACCTGTTCGGCGCGTTCCCGGAGCAGACGGCGTGGGCGCAGCCGCTGGCGGCCGTGCTGCTGGCGCTACGGTCCGTTCCGTTCGCGACGCTGGTCGGGTTCTTCAGCCTGTCCGTCGGCTCCAGCAACCCGCAGATCAACAAGCTCGTGAGGTTCAACATGCAACAGGCCATCAACCTGGACATCGCTCTGATCTTGCCGGGCGTGGTGGGTGCGATCACGGGGGCGGTGTTGGGGTCCGACGCGTCCAAGCTGGCGCCTTTGGCGAACGCGGGGTCGGACGTGGTGTTCGTGGCTTTGTTGGCGGCTGTGGCGTACTCCGTTGGCACTTCGGCGACGGGATCGTTCCCGAACAAGCTCCCGCTGTTGGGGCGGTTGAACCGCGAGAACCCCGACAACCAGGAGGGGGGCGAGCAGTAGAGGAAATGAAGTTGTGACTTGGTGGAATTTCCCAGCAGGGTGCACGTTCTAGTCGTCGTGCCGTTTGTATATGTTTACCTGTTGTACATAGAGTTGTGTTTGGTGAGTCTTGAGGAGTGAGACCCCTGGTGTTGGATTTGATGTTATGTGTCGTGATGTGTCTGTTCTACCTAACGAAGTGCTCGTGGGTGGAGATTCTGTAGCATGTGTGTATGCTGTATCTCGTACAGTTGTCTGCCTTATCGGGCATCTGTTGCTCGTGAGTGAAGCGTTGTAAGCTGTTTTCGGTGGTGTCGGCTGTCATATTCCTGTAGTGCGGCATGCACGGACGATGCAGACTGTTCTGAAGATGTTTCGTGCTGTTGTATAGATCGTGCCGAGAGTCAGTTGTTTTTTTCCAGGTACGCCTGGTAGTGTGGGCATTGTCAACAACGATGTTGACAATTTTGAGCGAATTCGTTTTGCTTTGTTGCCGCGGCCAGCTTAGCCTGAAGGAGGATCTGGAGTGTCGGGTTTGCTTGGCATAGGGGTCACCGTTGCCACAGACGAAGTCCGAGGTCGCTAGCGTCGCCGTCCCGACGTGTAAGGTTCTTGCGGGGATCTTGTCACTGTTGTTTGGTAGAACCAAGCCATGAAGAATTTATTGAACAAACATGATCGATCATGTCTTGATGAACACAGAAGGTGGTGCGGATCGATCATCTACCACGACCTTTGTGATCGGAGTTGAGAAGATTCTCTCTTCACAGACAACTTGCTGGTTCCCTCGGAGGTTTGCCTGGGGCCAAGAAACCCTGTCTTTCCATTGCACAAGGTGATAAGTTGGAGAGTCTGGCTCGAGCAAGTGAGCCATGTAGCGTGACGTTCGTCTTGTGAGCGTCAGCTTGTGACGGCTTTCTTGAGCACGATATCTGAACCAAACTGTTTGACGCGTCTTTATAGATGCAGCGGTGCCGCAGTCGCAAAAGACGCCTCACGAGTCGCCACAGCTAGGGGCACGGAACATATGTATCTCAACCATTCATCATGCTGAACGAAGTCATCGCCGTAGGCCGACTCAACGAAAAGCCGATGCACGGTGTAGTATCTGGCACACCAACGGTGTTGACGAATTCGAGCAGTGTGAGTCAGCCGTTAGCTAGCGCACCTTGTGGCGTTTTTCCGCGGAATAGAGATGCGAACAGATTTTTGTTGCAACAACGCACGCAGAATACAATTCCCAACACCGTACTACTTTAGATTTTCCTACGCCTTGGTACCGTCACTTGCCGGCTGGCGACATGCACAATATGACGGGGGGGTACCCTCCTCGCCAATCGTGAATTGTTGGTTTTCCTTACGCGAGATAGGTGAGACGCGATTGAACAGCGGTTGTTTTCATGGAGGTCGATGAGAGCCCAGGGCGAAAAAAGATGGCCGAACGTGTGTGTTGTAAGGTAAGTCTTGCAAGAAGGACAATGGTACCGCTTCAGACCGTTTCAGGCACGCGGGTGAAACATAACGTATCCCATCTACAACCCTCATCATGTAGTCTATAGTGTGTCGTTGAGGTTCAATTTCACGCCTCCCCGCCGCTGGCCTTCGTTGTGCAAGGTGTCCTGGTGAACGGTACCGATTCAAGCATCGATACCTCTGCGAGCACGTGCAACACGTTGTTGTTGTCGTAAATGAGCGGGCGCGCTGGCTCATAGATGGCTTTGACTTTGTGACCACTTTGAGAAGTCCATGCTTAGTGCGTAGACACAACATTTGTGAACATTTGCCAGCGCGAGCAGCATGCCATCACGAAGGCGTTTGGGTTCTCGTCGGAAAGTCACGTATGGGTGGCGAAGGCTGCAATTAACACAACATCGAAAGTCTTCCGTAACCCTGGCCACCCGGCAGTGACTGGTACCCGATGTCGGCACACCAACCACGCATGCACGTACCTGTGGTGGCCGTTTCCGTGTGTGTGTGTGTGTATGTTTCTGTATATGGCAACTTCTTGTACATGACAACGTTGCAAAACGTGTCTCTCGTAGCACAACAAGGAACGTACCAAGCCCAAATAAACAGTTTCAGTCAGTTGAGTCATGTCATCTACTCATCCATGCGGTCATGTTCAGGAGGCATTCGGGACACGCCTGACAAGCAGTGCCGGTTCTTCTTTAGGAAGTATCAAGTGCTGCTAACATTCCTGCTACTCGTTTTTCGAAGCATCCCGTCACAACCGAAGCATTTGCTGCGCAACGAGGAAGAAGGTCGTTCAAAGTTCAATGATAAATGTTTCAACAAGTATTATTGTCTCGAGTGTTCCTCGCCACCGGGGTGGGGCTTGGGGGGGGCGTACTCTTGTTTCGCATGCATTAGTTGTTAGACCATGGACCAAGTGTCCTCGGGAGGGCGAAGCATGGTTTCACAGGACCCATCACCGATGGCCAACCGCTCGTTCCTACGTTGCCAAAGGTGGCTCAAACATGCTTTCCCCAGCCTATCCATCCTATCGATTTCGCCTCCTCAGCTCACTTCTTATTCTGCCCCAGCATTGAAACCCTCTTGTCCAGGCTATTCCATGCCTCAAACATCTCTCTGCACCTTCTTCTCAGCTCAGTCATGTAACCTTCTCTCTCCGATTCTCGCAGAAAAGATACTCTGCTACTGCATGAACCAGGTCTTCGCGCTCGAAGCCCCGCGTTCACGATTGAACTTGTCTTCGTCTTCGTCTCCCTTCCTAGTTGTCCGTCTGCTTTCTCGAACGCCAATGATCCCGGTCCGAAATTTGACCTCCANTCAGCTCAGTCATGTAACCTTCTCTCTCCGATTCTCGCAGAAAAGATACTCTGCTACTGCATGAACCAGGTCTTCGCGCTCGAAGCCCCGCGTTCACGATTGAACTTGTCTTCGTCTTCGTCTCCCTTCCTAGTTGTCCGTCTGCTTTCTCGAACGCCAATGATCCCGGTCCGAAATTTGACCTCCAGCTTTGTCCTTGCATCCATTTAACATCGATTCCGTACACGCCGCGAAGCCAATTTATCGCGTGGGGGCGGGGGGAGGTCGCAGCGCTCGCAGTACGATTGAATAAGCTTGTGCTGTTGAATATCGTGCTCCTCGGGAACGAAGGTGTTCTGCTGCTGCTTGGGCAAGTGTTGTGCCTCCATCGCATGTTGCGAAGGTGTACCGATTCAGGTGAAAGTCGATCGACGGATACCCTGTGAATCGGACCCTCCTTAACACTCTCCACCCACAGAACGTGGCCAGGGTGGGAACTTCGATGGAAGTGTCACAGGGTTCTGTGAAGGATCGACTCCAAGAAGTGTGCTCAGGACTGACACACAAAATGTCCATGGGAACATGTCCAAGTCAGGAGAAAAAGTGTCCTCCCAAGAAATTCGAACCGCTATCCAGCCGACGCCACATGCGAAGGTGTACCGATTCAGGTAAAAGTCAATCGACGGATACCCTGCGAATCGGTACACCTTCGCACATGACGTCAGCTGGATAGTGGTTCGAATTCTCCTTGGATGCACTCTTTTTGCGAAGAAAAGCGATCCAGACGGCATTTGAACTGACGCGGATATCCTTTGATCGAAAGGCTTACCCATCAGACTACTTCGTCAGCGCTGACTTCGGGTCCTCCTTAACAATGGCGTGCACTTGGTCGAGGTGGGTACAGAGCCAACAGTTTTGGTCTAAGCTAGAGTAGCATTCTTCATGGGAAGCTCCCGCTCATGTACGGCAACAACGTGTTGCACGTGCTCGCTGGGGTTGTATGTACGTACGTTTCAGCATCGTTCACCTGGGCCCGCTGCAAAACATCAACAGGCAAACGGGGGTAGGTGATGACGAACTTCAACGACAGGATCTAATCAGTTTCGCGTTGTTTTGCATTGTTCAAAGTTGAGACAGACATGGCCGTGCCGCGTCTTCAAGAAGGAAAGGCGCTGCGGCTTCGAGACCCAGCAGAGGGTTCGATTCAGATATCGTGCCAAGACAGCCGTCATAAGCTGACGCTGACAGCACAACCAAACACTACACGGCTCACTCGCTCGGAACCACATGTACCGTTGACATTG